CACTTTACAGTTTATTCAAGCGACAATCTGCGACAAGTTTCTGCATTGAGTTCACCTCTGTGTGTCTGCTGACCAAAACAATACAGCAGGCGGAGAGGAGCTCTGAGAGGACAATATGAGTGTGTTTGTGCTTTTCTCTGTAACTTAAGTGTGTACCTTCATCAACTTCTGGGTTAATAATATCGATAAATGTGATCTGTGAATGTAATTTAGTGCTGCAGATATATGACATCTATCACTGAAAACATTATTTGTGGTGCTCATTAATAACCAGTGAATATAGTCACTAGTATTAAAGTAACTTACTAAAAGTAACTAGAGTATTTGTTCGTTACTTTACATACTAATATATGGTAGCAAAGATGTGGTAAATGGTTATGAGATTTTTTAACGGTAAGACTAAAGATTTCTGAAAAATAAAACATTAGTTGGTAAGCCAGATTAATTTATGCTGCAAACACAGTATGAAATGAACTTTAATGAGTGTTTATAGTCTGAGGTTCATCAATATTATCAGAGCTGCTGAAATCCTCTTCATTTCATGTCAACAGTTCCTGTTTTCAACTCATTATATTGATGTCTTCAGATTTACAAATGAAGTTATTTGTATTAGTTTCAACAGACTTGAGAGAATTACCTGTTGTATTGTCTACAATATAAAGCTATCATAATATAATTTATTTCATCAATCAGTGTAAGTTAAGCAGATTTCCATGTTTCTTCCTTCAGTTCAGCTGTAAATACTGGAATATCCCCATCAGTCTTCAAGTAAAGACGAGCATCAGACCATCAGGAGGAAAAGAAATCTGCAAAGACAGAGTTTATTGAAGGACAGTGAGAAGATGAGTGATCCAGAACCCTGCAGAATTAAACAGGAAGAGACTGAAGAACTAATAGGTTTGTGTTTAATCATTACTCTTCAATAATGAGGCTGAACAACAGTGAGGTTGTGAAATGTTAAGCACTTCATTAGTCTTGGTTCATATTACCTTTTAGTTTATTTACAATTTGTGTTTAAAAATGCAATTCACCCTCAATTCTTCTCCATGTATTAATTTTGGCCATATATATTTACATGCATATTATATAGTGTTGGGTAAGTTACACAGTAATAAAGTAATAGATTACAAATTAGTGCTTGCACTAATTGTAGGTCTAGATTTTTTTTAATTGACCGAAAAACATAATTTACACTGTTTTATGAAATTGAAAAAAAAAAAAATTAAAATCTTTTGAGAATCGCTGACACAAAGCCCTGTCATATTCCTAAACAGATCCAGCACTTTTATCACATTGAAGTTTATAAGCACTCATGCTATGTGTATCAGATGTTGTAATGGGAAGTTCAGATCATTTTACTGACTCTGATCTTTGAGTCTCGTTCATCAAGATGAACGAATCTTTTTTCGAGTCATTTCGTTCATTTGGTTCAATTTGCCAAAATATTATTAAAATATTACGAATTGCTTCAAAACACATCTACAACTAGCCCAAAAGGTTGATTGCACGACAAATAAGTCATAAATAGAATATAAGAAGGAGAAAATAATAATTAAATGTTGACCTGCTCTTTTGTCTATGAAGGTATTGTTGTCTCCTCGCTCAGCTCACCTCTTCATGTCTTCAAATGTCAGGGCTTCATTCACGTTACACTGACAGTCACATATAATCTTAATCAATGCACAGTCTAAGCCGATAGGAGCCATAATCGTTCGTTGTTTAAGTGACAGAATGACTCAAACCCGAGGAGTTGAGATGAACGGATCAATTCTTTTTCCAGCTCTAAACGCATATGATTGGCTCGTGATGAACGAGTGACTCAGACCCGATAGAGGCGCGAGATGTGAGCGGATAAAATCTTTTTCTGGCTCTAAACGCATCTGATTGGCTTCTGCCAATGTGATGAAGACTTGAAATTAACGATACTACCTGCACAAATGTGCGCACGCCGGACGAAGGAATCACTCCCTGAGAGGACTCGTAGTTCCCGAGTCATATTGAAGATTCGTTCAAAATGAAACGTTCATGAACGACCCATCAATAATCAGACGATTCAAAATATCACAGCTGAAGTTCAGCTAGAATTGTTTTGCAGCATTATTACCCAATTATAGCCTCGTAACCGTTTATTGATCAGGTTTTATTTATTTTTTTACATAGGATTTACTTTACATATATCCTCCTGAACACATTTTATGTACTCATCTATTTGTAGTCAGAATCGCTCAAACTGTCGAGCTCTGCTAGAGCGCCATCTGCTGTTAGCAAAACTAGCCTCCTAAAATGTGACTTATTCACTTCATTTTCAGATCTGATGGTAGCGGTGAAGACTGAAGAACTGAGTGAAGATGAGGAGAAACATCATGTCAAAAGTGAAGGAGAAACTCAGTCAAAGACTGAAGATAGTTTTGTATTTGAAACAACAGCTGTAAAAGGTTTCACCTGCACTCATTGTGGAAAAAGTTTTAGGCATAAAGGCAATCTCAAGAATCACATGAGGATCCACACGGGAGAGAAACCACACAAATATGATCAATGCAGCAAAACATTTCTGAGGCCTTCAGACCTAAAGAACCAACTTGGAGTTCACACAAACGAGAAGCTTTACTCGTGCTCTGAGTGTTCATGTAGTTTTAGACGGCAGTCAGCTTTTCAAGCACATCAGAATATCCACACTTGTCTGAGAGAGTTTGTGTGCTTTGAGTGTGGGAAGAGTTTTATTAAAGCTGGAGACTTGAAACATCACGAGAAGACTCACACTGGAGCGAAAAAACTCAAATGTGATCAATGCAGCAAAACATTTTCAAGGCATTCAGGTCTGATGAAACATCTTATCATTCATACAAACAAGAAGCCTTATTCATGTTCTGTGTGTGGGAACAGATTTAAATGTCGGTCGAATTTAAGAGAACATGAGAGGATCCACACTGGTGTTAAAGAGCATGTGTGCTTCGAGTGTGGGAGAAGTTTTATTAGAGCTCGAGACATGAAAAAACACCGGTTGATTCACACTGGAGAGAAACCGTACAAGTGTTCACACTGCGACATGAGATTCCGTCTGTTACAATACCTGAAAAAACATCAGAGGACTCACACTGGAGAGAAACCTTACCAGTGTTCACACTGCGACAGGAGTTTTAGTCAGTCACAAAGCCGGAAATCACATGAGAGAACTCACACTAGAGAGAAACCTTACCAGTGTTCACACTGCGACAGGAGTTTTAGTCAGTCACAAAGCCGGAAATCACATGAGAGGACTCACACTAGAGAGAAACCGTACATGTACTCAGTGTGGTAAGATGTTCGGACAATCGTTACACCTTCGTCAACACATGCTGATCCAAAACACACAAATGTGATCAATTCAAAACATTTTTGAAGGCTTCATTGCTGAAGAGACATCTTATGGTGCGTTCACACTAGATTCGGATAAAGCAACAAGCGTGAGTGATATTTTTATGTTAAGTCAATGCAAAGGTATAAATAGACATCCTGCAGTGCAATTCATGCGAATGAGGCAGCACAAATTGAGTGTTCGTTCAAGTTGGAAAATCTGGCATTTCGTATTTTTGTCGCGCGTCACGTGCACTGTATCCACACGTGAGTCCAGCTGCGCTCTCATAGCAGGGAATGAAAACAAAACCTTCATTGCTGCAAATTATAAACGCAACACTGACGACCCGTTTCTCTAAACAATTCTTCTTCCACTTTTTTTGGCAACACAACGTGGCGTCTCTCTACCGTTTCAGATACAGTCCTCGAAGCTATCATGCACATAAATGAAGTTGCACTGCATTTACAGTAGAGCGCACTGATTGGTTTGAGCTAAGCCTTTCTCATGAATGAATGCAGCACACTCAGAGACGTCACGATGCGCTCGCAGATACAGATATCCAGTCTACACGCTGGAATACACGCAAGGATCTAATCAGTATGACGCAGCTTTAAAAAATTTGTTTCAAACCGGAGGAACGAATTAGCTCGAAATAACACAAAGACAAACAAATTTTCACTTTTTAGTGAAATATATGAGTCCTAATAGTGTTTTTAGCAGTGTGGGACACATATACGACTGTCAACAGCTCATGTGTTTTGCTGTTTCGTGACTGTTTAAGATTGTAAATGGCTGGTTATTCGGTTAAAAAAGCATTTTTTTTTATTAAAAATGTATTTAGACCTATTTTGTTATTATTGTGTGTGTGTGTGTGTGTGTGTGTGTGTGTGTGTGTGTGTGTGTGTTTGTGTGTGTGTGTGTGTGTGTGTGTGTGTGTTTGTGTGTGTGAGTGTGTGTGTGTTTGTGTGTGTGGCAACAGGACACCAAGCAACCTCCCTCCTTCCGGTATCATCCCCTTTGAATTTATTTTCACAATTCGATCACTGCTAGTAACAATCACATTCATTATATCAAAAATGAACATTGGCACTTTTTATACATTGAAATTTCAAATTTTCACTAGTGGCTACTCGGGTATCTTCTTCTTCTTTGGCCTTGGTCCCGTATGGTTGCGGGGTCGACTCTTTGGAACAAGCCATTTTAGACTTGTCCATATGATAACGACTGTTTTTTTTTTTATTACACATTCCGGCCGGCCTGTCGTGTGGGCCTGTCACCCTCATACACTACGGACAATTTAGCCTACCCAATTCACCTGCAGCATGTATTTGGACTGCGGGAGAAACCGGAGCACCCGGAGGAAACCCACGCGAACGCAGGGAGAACATGCAAACTCCACACAGAAATGCCAACTGAGCCGAGGTTCGAACCAGCGACCTTCTTGCTGTGAGACGACAGCACTAGTGGCTACTCGGTTATTAACAACTTAATTATTGATATCGACAATAAAATTTTGTTGATTTCAAGAATTTATACTCTTCATACTTATTTTATTTTATTTTTTATTAACAACAAACTCAAAATTATTCAGTAATATACAAAAAAACATGTAGTAATTAAAAATTTTATATTCCTTAAGAATATTACATCTTCTTTGCTTATTTAATAACAATCTTCTCCATACTTGTGCAGTAGTCCTTAGTCTCTTGAAGGAAATGAACAAAATTTGGCTTTGATCCAGTCCATTTTTATGTATATGAAACTTTCACATAATAATAAAAAGTTGTACTTGAAAGGTACATTTTTTTTTTTACATGTATTGACATAATAAATGCAAACATCAAGTTTTCAACTTGAATACAATATTTGTTTTCCTTCAAGGAAAGTTTTCCAGATCCACCCAGAAAGTCCTTGCGTATACACAATTACAAAACATGGACGATAGATTCCTTTTCCATGCAACAAAAATCACAGGAATGATCAATATCCAAATTAAATCTCTCCAAAACCTCTTTAGCTGGATATAAACAGTCAAATTTTAAATGTCACTTCTTTTACTTTGTCATTTATACAATATATTTGATAAGAATGCCAAGCTTTTTCCCAACTTATATTTATGAATACATTGGTCCATTGGAAATTATAATATAATTGTATCACCTGTTATAATATTTCTAATATATTTATTAGTATAACTTTGTGTAATAATATAAATATCTCCTATAAAAAAAAGGTTTTCTTTAACATATTTTCCTTCTAAAAATTTATTTCCATACACTCTTATAAAATGAAGCAGCTGTTCAGATGTGGCATTAAATACAATAGCATACTCCTTTGGAGTAACTGGAAAACCAAATTTATCAACAAATTCACTGTAAGATAATAAATCACCATTTAAATTTAGAAGTTATCTAATATAGTATAATTTTCATAGCATTTTTGGAAGAAGAGAGTTATTTTTATATTGAATACATCTATTGCTCCAAATAATATACTAGTTTGGAGAAAATTTGTGCTTAAATAACAGCATCCAGGCTAATAAAGCTTGTTTGCGAAATTTAGCTAATTTCACTGGAAGTTTGTCCATTCTAAAATCACATCTCAAGAATTCATATTCTAGAAATCAAAGCAGCACAGCATTTTGTCAGCAGCGTGTTCTTACGATCCTCCAATACGCTCGCTTCGACGTGATGACGTCAGCGCCGAGGCGTTCATTCAGCGTCGAGTCTTTGGAGCTGAGGTGAGTCGGTGACGCTTTTTTCTCGTGTTTACACAACAATAAAACACACTTTACAGTTTATAGACTTTTATTAAAGCGCAATTGAACACCGGAGATGCCTTTTGAAGCAAAATATCGCTTTTTCCGGTTTCGCTAGCGGTCGCAGGAACGTGGCAGCCTCAGGATATCGGATGACGTCCCCAGTGTAAACTTTGCCAAAAATTTAGACAAAAGACTGTTCGCTCGGTGAATGTGTACAACAGTTATAGCCTAAACACACATCATCTAACGATATTAATGTGCAGAATTTCTGGAGAACATCTGCCTTACACAAAGCGTTCGCTATGTAACGTTAGGTTACAGTGAGCCAACAACATTAGATATGCTAATTTCATCAATTCGTTAGCAAGATTAACTATTTAACTTCCAGCAGGATTGGTTTCATGTTAGTAGTTGTCCGTAAACTGTGCTGAACCCCTCCTTCCTTTGTATGCCGTGTCGGATGTAGTGAACGGCGAGGTAGCTACAGGCAAGCTGCTATCGGTCGAAAAGACGAGGAGCTCCGTAAATAACCTTGATTAATGCTCGTAAGGTTTACTCAAGTTTGTATTAGTTGTTGTGTTACGACATGCACACATACGCAACGGACAATTTAGCTTAGCCTATTCACATATATCGCATGTCTTTGGACTTGTGGGTGAAACCAGAGCACCAGGAGGAAACCCACACCAACACGGGGAGCCAGCCGGGACTCGAACCCGCTAACCATTAAATTTTCCTATTGTAAAGTTGCAAATGTCTTCAAAACAGTCAATCAGGCTCAGTCTGTAGCAAGTAGGGTGTGTTTACAGATCTTCAGGTTGAAGTTAGGTCATGTTCCAGGTTTTTATTTTTTTATTTAAAGAACAACATATAAAACTTTACAATACAAAAAATTGTAGATGCCAGAGTGTATTTATAAATATAATACAATTATATAAAGTGTACATATGAGATAATAAATAATTACATTATAGACTTCACAAATTTTTAAGGTGTTTTGGCTTTCTTGTTTAGAAAGGCTCTGATACTGGTTATATATAAGCAGATTTCAGTCCTCAATACCTCACAATTTAGTTTCTTATTAGTAAATTTATAATTATGAATGTAAAATTTTGTTAACATTCATGTTCCTTCAGCTTAGCCGGGACTCGAACCCACTAACCATTACATTTTTTGATTTTAAAGTTGCAAGAAAGAGATTTGCAATCGTATACATTGTGTCTAATATTCCAAATTAAATAGTAACGTTAATGTGGGGAGAATTTATACTTGTATATTAATGACCATGATCGGAGCACTTGTTTGTGGGAGATAAATGGAATTTAGCCTCTATTATAATTGCACATCAAAATAAAACTAAATCCACATATATTTGAAAAAACATGATAATTTCCAATATGGAGTGCATACTGCGCACGAACATACCTTCTTGTATTGATGTCTTCAGTAGAGCTGATCGGGCCAGAGCCCAAGTACATTTTGATTGACAGCTTTTTAAAAACCCGAACCCGTTTAGGCACACAGCTCTTTTGCCTTTTTGCAAGATTGAGCAGTTTATACGTGTTTTAACATAATTTATTCATAACAAACGTAGGCTATAGGCGCTAAGAAGTTGGAATAAAGAAATAAAATAAGTCCTCTGTAACATCTCAGCACTCTAAATAGATCTAGATACATACACTTAGCATTTAACTTGGCCAACACACCAATGAAAATAAGTCTTTCTTAACTAATTAAATAAATATAAATGATGACGGGTAGCTATTTGGCGATAAGGAAATTAAGATAAAGGCTCTGCGGGATTTGTTTTGCCATTTCTCTTCACAATCTGGCATTGAGGCGCCAGTGAAGCTGATTATTAAAAGAAAAATGCCAACATTAGCCTGTATACTCTGTCTAGGATTTTATGGTTTAATTATGTTTTAGTTATAATTTAAAAAATCTTTACTCATCAAGATTAGGCTATGTGTTTTTGTGGAGGAATGTTATTGAATCCACTGTAAATGGCTTTAGTGCAGTCCTGCACTCACTGAGCAGCACTGAACACCCTTTCTCTGCTGCTGCTACTGGCCGGGATGCACTACTGATCTGGCTAATTTGGCATGTTTTGGATAAGATTGTTCATCGTCCACCAGCCAAGAACATTAATTTAATTTTCCATGACAGCGGTTTCAATGTAGCGAGTGACCTCGTCATCTTCCCTGTCAGCTTGCCGTAAATTAATGTTTAGTGCTGTACCGTAATACACAGTGTATGAGCGACCGCCGAAATACCTTGGCGGCTAGAATGACCGTTCTAGAATGACCGTTCTTTTTGAACTGGCGGCTGGCCTGACCAAAATTCGCTCTCTTTAACTTCTTTGTCATCTTTTGTTTCACCTTTGCAGGGATGGCTTTTAATGTTGCAACAAATGATTTGATTACTTTTTTTACACTAATTAAAATGCATCACATGATGCAAGCCCAAACCCGCCCTGACCCCATCTAAAATGATAAAAAATTAAGGGTTAGGGCACAGATCTTCAGCTTTTCACTAATCAGTGTAAATTTAGCAGATTTGTCTGTTTCTTCATTTCAGTTCAGCTGTAAATACTGGAATATCCCCATCAGTCTACAAGTGAAGACGAGCATCAGACCATCAGGAAGAAGAGAAATCTGCAAAGACTGAAGGACAGTGAGAAGATGAGTGATCCAGAACCCTGCAGAATTAAACAGGAAGAGACTGAAGAAATGGGTTTGTGTTTATTCATTACTCTTCATCATATATATATATTTTTAACTTGTATATTTTTTTTATTATATCATATGTACTTATTGCATTTCCTTTTTAAAATTCTACTTTTTATATTAATATTATCTGTTATGCACCTAGGGTCTGAGAGTAACGCAATTTCAATATGCTGTATGTCCTGTATCAGGGCTTGACACTGTAGTGGTTTTTCTCTTAATGAATCAAATTCAGTCTGGAGGTCATGAATATCAGAAGAATATACTTTATTGGAATATTTTCCAAAAAAGCAGAGATGTCCAAAAGCAGATCCATCTCTAGTCTCACTCCAGAACAAGCTAATATCCCTTACATTTGCCATCCTTTTTATCCTGGCTTCCTCCCACCTTTGTGTTTTCACAGCTGTTTACTGGTTCAACAGGCCTTTTTCAGCTCCTACTTCTTTACGACCCCTATTTAAAGGGCCATGAAACCCCCTCGTTTCAGCAGGGTGTTTTCACACCTCTACTTTGGAAAAAGTCAGAAAAGTGGGCGTGTCCAGCTCTGTTTAGGGGGGAGTGTCGGAGGAAGTAAAGAGGCTTGGGGTCTGTTCTTCGTACCTCGCTTAAATGATCTAAGATGATTTGGCAGATCCTGGATCTGTTAATCTTGATAACTGATCTCTCGCTAATTTGGTTCTTCAAACAAGTTCGCGAATCAGATTAGAATGTCTGGATGAACTGATCTGAGATCGCTGCGTTTGTTGTTAAGGACAGATCTATCGATCCTCGAAATCATGATCAGCAATGCAACGATTGGCTGACGGCACAGCAGCGTAATGACATCATCTGATTAATATTCAATTATCCATGCGAGCAAAATTACATCAAATTAGCAGTAAACGGCTTGTTAAATATGACACGCAGTAACTTCACATTTGTTGTGAGCTGCAGGCTTTACACTTTCATGTGTCGAGAGTATTCATCATGTATTTCAATGCAAATCAATGTATTTAGTTCTACATTTAGAAAAGATTTTCTTTATTATAGTAGCCGTTTTTTAATCGGTGTAAAGAATAACTGGTTGTTTACAAAAGCATTTTCATATTGGTAAAGGCGTCTGCAACTTTTGTGAAGCATCAAATCACTGGCATATTAACTGTCAAAACATGTTTATGACTGCATAAATGTATTATTGCTTTTAAAAAAAGTCACATATTGTGCATTTCTATTATACACAATTTGTACTAAAGCGATCTAAAAAGTTCATATCAATAAGTTTTCTCTTTGCACCACCAGGTGGCAGTCTTTGTACTTTCATTTCAAGGGTGCAGATTGCATACGTTTTATTTATATGTATAACTTTATTTATTTTATTAATGACTATAACTTTTATATACATATAGTTAAAAAATATTTACTATTTTCCCAAGTGTATATAACTTTTACTGTAAGAAAATATCAGAACTCGGTACATACTTTCTGTATTATCTTTGCTTGAACTGAGCCGATCTAATCCTGTTTTTATGATTTGAACCTGCTCCCGATCAGGTTTGACCTAGCAGATCTGTTGCCATGACAACAACTCTCAGATCAGCTTTGAAGAACGAAACAATCCTGGATCGTGTCAAATCGTCAATATCCAAATCCAGCTAACTGAGTAATCCACATACGAAGAACGGACCCCTGGTGTGGGAGTGTCTATTTGGGCGCGCTGACTTTCCGAGTCAAAACACACACACACACAGGGGACAAAGTGACTGTGTTTACATGGACATCTGTAGTCGAATTATTTGCCAAATTATTTAATGGTGGACTTTAACTGCAGTTTGGCTCTTTCATTCAGGGAATTCATTCATGTCCCTCGCGACAAACGAGATATTTGATTCGAGGAGCTGCTCTAAGCGTGTATTTTTCATGCAATGTTTGATACCGCACGGCGAATGAGAGAAAAAAAAACTCCGCATTTCCCGAAAACTTAGATGCACACGGCAGGTAGCGTCAGAAAGCCGCGTTTGTTATTCCGGTCACTAAATGCGGCGAAAATCCTACACAAGGTAAAAGTTTGGTTGTGGTGCTAACATGTTTACACTCGGTGCAATAGTTAACTTAGTTCGATACGAACAAACTGAATAAACAAAGAGCACTGCTCGCTCACTTACCAAATCTGTAGAGACAGCACAATCACCAGCAACTAGAGCCGCGTCTTTATTAAGAGGAGACTACAAGCGAATCCGGATCTCAGCGTTTGCAGATGAGAACAGCTCTCAGGTAAACAATGTTCCTCCTTAGACACGTAAGTTATTGTTGTCGAGCGTCGCGTACACTGTTAATCCACACGTGACTCCAGCTGAGCTCTCACAGAAAGAAAATGAAAACAAAACTTAACTGCAGCAAACTATAAAGCAACACTTCACGCTTGTTTTGCCAACACAACGTGGCGTCTCTGCCGTCTACACTCTAACAGTAATGAATATTAATGAAGTTGCACAATAGAGCGTGCTGATTGGTTTGAACCAAGCCTTACTCATGCATTAATGCAACACACTGTAAGACGTAATTAGACACACTCTGGCACAGACGTCCAGTCTGCACGCTGGAATACACGCTATTATGTCATGACCGTGACGCAGCTTCAAAAATTCGTTTCAAACAGGAAGTACGAATTTGCTTGAAATAACGCAAAAACAACCAATTTATACTTTTTAGTGAAATATAGGTGTCTTAATAGTGTTTTTAGTAGTGTGGGACACATATACGACTGTCAACAGCTCAACACATGTGTTTTGGTGTTTCGTGACCCTTTAAAGCCTCTTCGTCCTTGTGGCCCTCGTAATGTAAAGATCTAATCCTAATGTATTCATAACTGTTTTCACACATACAGTACACATTTGGTAATCATGACTAGTATCTATGTTTCAAACATCTAAACTGGACTCTTCTCTCCCATACAGTATGGGTCTTTTCAAACATACGTGACAGTTTCAACATATGTTGTATACATTTCATGCTTTTCTCACACAGATGGCTCTCATTGTATCCCCAAGTCCCCTCTCGTGCTCTTTTATGACCCCTTTGCCTTAACCCGTCACCTGTTTTCAAAGACATATAATGGCAGATTCATAGGGCCCTCCACTCACCCAATTAAATGTGTCTTCATATAGGTTTAGTAAATAAAAATCTTCTTCAACACTTACTTTTTCAAGGAGGAAATTCATCCTCAATTTTCCTTCAAGTGTTAAATTTTGCCATATGTATTTACAAATATATAGTGTTGTGTAATTTACCCTAAGTAATAGATTACAAATTACTACTTGAAAGTTATAATCTGGTTACATTACTAATTATTATGTGTAAAATGTAAACAGATACCTTCAAGTTACTTTGTGCATCTTTACTAGGTTTTTGAAGTCAGAATTGTGGCTCTTTAATTTATTTAAAATTGACAAGCATATGACAAAGGTTTATGCTGTTTTATTAACATTGTTTTAAAAGTTATTATAAGCCTTTTAGGAATCGCTGACACAAAGCCCCGTCACAAGCAAACGTTCAGCTAGAATTGTTTTGCTGCATTAATAACCAATTATAGCCTAGTTCCCGTTTATTTATCAGGATTTATTTCTTTCTTTTTATTTAAGCTTTTATTCACAGTTAGGTCCTTAAATATTTCGTCATCGACACAATTCAAAACATTTTCTCTATACACCAACACAATGGATTTGAAATGAAACAAACAAGATGTGCTTTAACTGCAGACTGTCAGCTTTAATTTGAGGATATTTACATCCAAATCAGGTGAACAGTGTAGGAATTACTACAGTGTGCATATGTGCCTCTCACTTGTTAAGGGACCAAAGGTAATTGGACAGAAAAATAATCAGAAATCTAACGTTCACTTTTTAATACTTGTTTGCGAATCCTTTGCAGTCAATTACAGCCTGAAGTCTGGATATATACATCCCCTGGGTTTCATCCCTGGTGGTACTCTGCAGTTCATTTTGCCTTCAGTTTTATCTTCGGCACGTGAAATGCGTGCTCAATCTGATTCAGGTCAGGTGATAGACTTGGCCATTGCAAAACATTCCATTTGTTTCCCCTTCACTATCTCTTTGGTTGCTTTTGCAGTATGCTTTGGGTCATTCTCCATCTGCAGTGTGAAGCACCGTCCAATGAGTTCCGAAGCATTTCACTTAATATGAGCAGAAAATATTGCCGGAAACGCTTCATCCTGCTGCTTTTGTCAGCAGTCACATCATCAATAAACACAAGAGAACCAGTTCCATTGACAGCCATACATGGCCACTTTACTGTTTAAGATCATGCACAGTTCATTTCCTTCCCCATGCTCTTCTTTTCCCGTCACTCTAGTACAAGTTGATCTTGATCTCATCTGTCCATTGGATGTTGTTCCAGCACTGTGAAGGCTTTTTTAGAACTTTACCTGGCCGTCTTGTTTTTAAGGCTCACCAATGGTTTACATTTTGTGGTAAATCCTCTGCATTCACTCTGGTGTAGTCTTTACATATACACCTACCTCCTGGAGAGTGTTCTTGTCGTTGTGTAGTTGTCCAACACAGTTGTTTCTATGGTCTTCCAGGTCTTTTGGTGTTGCTGAGCTCACTATTGTGTATCTTCTGTTTAAGAATGTTCCACCCAGGGGTTTTGGCCATGTCTGATGTTTTTGCTATCTCTCTGAAGGGTTTGTTTTGGTTTTTTAGCCTAATGATGGCTTGCTTGACTGATAGCGACAGCTCTTTAGATCTCATCTTGAGAGTTGACAGTAACAGATTCCAAATTCGAAATGAACTCTGGACCTTTTATCTGCTCATTGTAATTGGGATAATGAAGGGAATACACACACCTGGCCATGGAACAGCTTGGAAGCCAATTGTCCAATTACTTTTGGACCCTTAACAAGTGGGAGGCAAATTTGCAAACACACCGTTCACCTGATTTTGATGTAAATATCCTCAAATTAAAGCTGACAGTCTGCAGTTAAAGCACATCTTGTTTGTTTGTTTTGGTGTATAGAGCCAAAAATGTTAGAATTGCTCACACTGTCGAGCCCTGCTACCGCTTCATCTGCTGTTAGCAAACTGTTAAAAGCTAGCCTCCTAAAATGTGACTTATTTACTTCATTTTCAGAAGTGATGGTGAAGGAGGAGAGTGAAGAACTGAGTGACGATGACGATAAATATCATGGCATATTTGAAGAAGAAACCCAATCGGAGATTGATCATAGTTTTTTCATGAATACAACAGCCGTAAAAGGTTTCATCTGCACTCAGTGTGGAAAGAGTTTCAGGCATAACCGCGATCTCGTTCGTCACACGATGATCCACACTGGAGAGAAACCGTACCAGTGTTCGCACTGCGACAAGAGATTCAATGATCCAGGATACCTGAAAGCACACGAGAGGATTCACACTGGAGATAAACCATATCACTGCATTGATTGTGGGAAGAGTTACATACAATCATCTTCTCTACGAATGCACAGATTAAAATATCACAGTAAGTAGATCATCTAAAGATCCAGACCTACCATCAGGATAGCAACACACCACTCTTGCATGGCACAAACCCTTGAAATCAATTAGTTTCATAGTGCAGCACTCCCAAGAATGTTGGTAATTGCAAACATGAATTTGAAGTGTGAAAAGACCGAGCAAATTAAGACCTGTGGAGTCATTTGTAAGACTGTAGCCTAGTTCTGTGAAACATTTCATTTATTCAAACAACAGAATACATCAGTTAACGTAGACTACTAAATGATCAACGTTTAGCAGACCTGATGGAGCTGCGCAGCAAGGTTTTTATAGTTAACGAAAACGAATGAAAAAACTAAAATGTAAAATAACTGTCGTTAACTGAAATAAAAATAAAAACGAGTTTTTTTTAACTGAAAGTATTGTGTACAAACAAAACTGAAACTAGCTAAAATTATAGCAAAAACCTCCTTTGTTTTCATATTTGTAAATGTATTTAATGCATAATCTTACTGTAAGCCGTTCAGAAGTAAATCTAATTCGCGCTGCAGGTGTTTGACTCTTTCGCACCTCTGAGTCTGTAGTCCTGCTGCCATTGGCCAGATCGAGCCGGTTCTCCTCCAGTCATCCTCGCTGTTGCTCTCACAACAAAAACAAGTGGACAGGACAGCAGCACGGTGACAGCATTAAATACAGAGACCTAAATCTATTACTTTAACACATTTGTGCCCAATAATGGGTTTATTTCTGTATCGCAATAGCGAAGGAATCTTTTTAACCGGATCTTCTAAGTGAACCGGTTGAACTAGTTCACCAGATCGAACTGAACCAGTTGAAATGATTCGTATCTCCTGTAAGAACTTATCCTCAAACAACTTACTTTTTAACAAGTCTAATACCCCCCTCTGACTCTAAATAAACCAATATATACTTTCTTTCAATTATTAGAACAGTAACGTTACACTGAGATCAAATTTGAGAAGCGGTGAATGGATAATACGGCACATGCGTGATTCAGTGAACCAAATACAAATAATACATGAAAGGCTGCTGTGACTGAACTAAACTTGATCAACAGCACCGCAGGTAAACCAAGAGCTTAGCTGAGAGGATCTGGTGAAAAACGTAAGTTTATTTCATAACAGAAAATCGTAAATATGTGAACCATGCTTCAGTTGGGTTGCAAAACTTTACTGCAAGACATTTTTTAGATCATGGTGGTGTTTTAACTGACTGAAATATCTATTGCTGACTACATAATGTTGAGTCCTAACATCCGCGTTAAAGATCTGAACTTTCCATCACTACTGTGTATGTAACCTCAGAAGCAGACTTGCACTCATGTTGTACTTAAGGCTGCTATCTTGTGGACTGTTGTATTTGAGTTTGAGGATGGGTATAGTAGTGGTAGATGATAGTGTTCATATATCCTCTAAATACATATATTTATTATTATTATTTTTAAGATTTATTTTTGGCCTTTATTAGATAGCACAGTATTGAGACAGGAAGCGAAGTGGGAGAGAGAGAGGGGGTAGGGTAGGGAAATGTCCTCAAGCCGGGATTCGAACTCGCGATGCCCTGACGTGCTATTGCAGTGGTTCTCAAAGTGGGGGTCGGGACCCCTTGAGGGTCGCGGAACAATGAAGGGGGGTCGCCTGGTGATTTCCAAAAATCTACTTATTATTATTATTATTAGACCATAAGAATTACCATATTTTATCCATAACCAACTGAAGAGGAAAAAACAGCCGTTTATAGTTACTATAGTAGCTTATTTACTTGTTCTATTGGATTGCGACCCCTGGGGTAAATACATTATTTTAAAAACAGCAATAGTGTTAGATGCAGCAGATGGATTTTTATAACACCAGGTTAAACTTTCTGGCCCATTTACAGCACTGAAATACATTTAAAAAATTAAACGAAGAATAGACTTTGGTCTATTGGTGTGTGTGTGTGCGCCAATGCATGCAAGTTTTCTGTATTTATAACCACCTCAGGGGATATTGGGGGTCGCGAGTCACTGGTATTGTTATTTTAGGGGTCGTGTGCTGAAAAGTTTGGGAACCCCTGTGCTATTGCACCATATGTCGGTGCGCTAACCACTAGGCTATTGCGCTGTACTCTGTTGATTCTAAAAAAAAATTTTTGGAAAAATCTAAACTAATACTGAAACTAATAAAAACTAAACTAAAATTCAATGCATAGAAAAAATTCAATACATAGAAACTAATAAAAACTAGTAAATCTGCCTCTAAAATGTAATTAAAACTAACTGAATTTGAAAACAAAGTCAAAACAAAATAGAAACTAAAACTGATGAAAAATCAAAAACTATTATAACCTTGCTGCACAGTTGTGCTTTGTTTCACATGTAGGATCTCATCGCCCTGTTAGAGCGCTTTCTGCCGTTAGCAAAACGGCTAAAAACTAGCCTCTAATAATTAATTTACTTCGTTTTCAGGTCTGATGATGGAGGAGAGTGAAGCACTGAGTGAAGATGAAGATAAAACTCAGTCAAAGTCTGAAGACGGTTTTTTATTTAATACAGCAGCTGTGACAGGATTCATCTGCAGTCTGTGTGGAAAGAGTTTCAATTGTAAATACTATTTCAAGCTTCACATGATGATCCACACTGGAGAGAAACCGTACAAATGCGACCAATGCGACAAAACATTTTTGAAGCCTTCAGACCTGAAGAGCCATATTAGAGTTCACACAAACGAGAGGCCTTACTCATGCGCTGAGTGTGGGAAGAGTTTTACCCATCAACTTTATCTAAAAGCACATGAGAAGATCCACAGTGGCGTGAGAGAGTTTGCGTGCGATAAGTGCGACAAGACTTTTCTAAGAGCTGGAAACTTGAAACGACACCAGAAGACTCACGCTAAAGATAAACCTGGTATTCAGTCGAGCAGCAGCATGAGATTCGAGCAGCCACAAATCCTGAAAACACACAAGGGGACTCGCACCGAGGAGAAACCGGACAGTCAGTCAAACTGCAGCACGAGATTCGAACAGCCACAAATCCTGAAAACACATGAGACGAATCACACTGAAGAGAAGCCGGACAATGAGTCAAACTGCAGCACGAGATTCGAGCAGCCACAAATCCTGAAAACACACGAGAGGACTCACACTGAAGAGAAACTATACACGTGTATTGAGTGCGGGAACAGTTTCATGAAATTTTCATGGCTCTTTCACCACATGAAGAGCCACACCGGAGAGAGAGCACACAAATGTGATCAGTGCAGCAAAACATTTTCAAACCATTCAGGCCTGAAGGAACATCTCCGAGTTCACACAAACGAGAAGCCTTATTCCTGCGCCGAGTGTGGAAAGAGTTTCAGATATCGGTCAAATTTAAAAGACCACGAGAAGCTCCACACCGGTGTGAAAGAGCATGTGTGCTTAGAGTGTGGGAAGGGGTTTATTAGAGCTCGGGTACTGAAACAACACCAGAGGATCCACACTGGAGAGAAACCGTACCCGTGTTCGCAATGCGACATGAGATTCAGACTGTTACAAAACCTGAAACACCACCAGAAGATTCACACTGGAGAGATGGCGAACACGCAATCAGTGTCTTAATGAACATGAGGATCCACACTTGAGAGACGACACACAAGTGGGATCAATGCGGCAAAACATTTTGGAAGGCTTCACCACTGAAGAAACATCTTCAAGTTCATAGAAAGGAGAAGGTTTAGCCATGTTCTTTAGCTCCATCAGCCCCCAACAAGAATTTCCTAATGATTTTTCATGAGAGAACTCAAGCAAAAAACAGTCAGTTATAGTGTACAACTCTTAAGCAGCCTTATGTCCTCAGCAACTTTAACTAAACTGAAGAACAACCTGAGAAATCCATCTGAAACCGAGTTATTTTTGAGTTTGTTGTAGAAGTTTGAATCAGATAAGGGAGTTTGATCTGCCATTGTTCTGTGGTAGTTCGGCAGTCAGTGGGTTTGTTTTGGAGCTCCGGCTTGTTTGACATGCAATTCATCACCAAACAGATTACCAAAGTGAAATTCTGGTTCCTAAACACCTTTGTGCAGTATTAAAACTATACCGTTGCCTTTGGGGGACTTTTTTATCGTAGGGGTTGGGTCGGGCTCGCTTTGATCTTGAGTGTGCACTCACACTATGTTATCCGAACCCCAGTTTGTTTGACAAGTGTGAGTGCTCCGAATCTGCTCAGGTGCAGTTCACTTGGCCGGCCCTGGCCCGGTTTGGAAATGGTGTGCCAGAGCGCGGTGCACTTGTAATGTGAGTGCAAAGCATGCCTAAGCTCGAAACTAAAGACGTTTCATATGTGTTTATTAATCATTCTTACTGTTCGGTGAATGCAAACTGTCGTAGTTTAGTGAAGACGCAAACCCCTCACTGCACGACAGCTGCACCTTCAACAAACCTCCTAATACCTGCAGCTCGAGGACTTTGATTGTTTATGAGCGTCAAAAGTGGCTGATCTTTTCAGCAAAATGTCTGACTGTGTGTCACCGTATCTCAAACAACTAAAACGATATAATTTCAGCCCGTTTAAAGCAACTGTACAGTGTGAGAACGATTTATTAATCATTCTTACTGTTCAATGAACACTAATGCCGAGTTCAGACTGCATGATTTTCAAACTAGTCGTGTCACAGATGTTTTCACACTGCATGACTATCTGGGCTAGCGTTTCGTCGCTGCTTTGTTTACACTGCAAGATGGTTCGGCGACATGGACATTCACATTGCATGACTTTACTATAGGAAGATTCGCCGACAACTTCGTCCAAACTACCGTCTCATAGCCAAAAACACGCCGTATATCTTTTGTTATTAACTACATAATGAGAAAGAAGCCTTTAATGGGGTAGAACATGTACTTATTTGCTCACCTGGGTTTAAAGGGAATTAGCCATTTCTCCTTAACGTTGATAATAAACTAATTTCTTTCTGTATGAAACGTCAAACAGACATGGTTGCTCCTGAGTCCTGTCAAACCTCCACTAGTTTTTCCTCCATTTCGTGGGTCTAAATAAACCGAAAAAGAGCGCTTTACTTCTCCCCTAGCCTCCCGCTGACCTGCAGCAGGTATACACACACACACACACACACAAGTGAAAGCTGCTCTCTTATTGGCTGTAGGCGATCGCTGATGTTATTTTCAGTCAAAATTCACACGCCATGATTTGAATCATCGACAGCTCCAGATATTTAGCACGCCAAATATCTTACAGGCATCGGCGACTCATCGGCGATTCTCTCAGATTGCGTCTTTGATCGTTCATACTGTGTGATTGTCACTCACGTGCACGAGCAGCGATTTGCCTGTGATTTCAGGCATTTGTCGGCGAGCCAAAATCGGGGCTAAAATCACGCAGTCTGAACTAGGCATAACTGTTGTAGATTATTAAGGAGGCAACCCCTCACTGCACAACAGCTGCACCTTCAGCAAACCTCCTAATACGTGCAGCACGAGGACTTTCTGAACATTTATGAGCGTCAGAAATGGTGGATCTGTTTGGTGAAATATTTGACTGTCTCACTACATCCCAAACGACTAAAATTATATAACTAGGCCCACACGGAATCTGCGCACGCAGATTTTTAGCCTATCAATAATTCTGTTTATTTACTTGAGTAAATGTGTGTAAATCTATATTTATTCAGTTTTTAAATTAGTTACAGTAATATTATTGACTATGAAAATGTTCATCTGATTTATGTACAACTGTTTGCGCAGTAATACTTTCTGTCTTTTAGTAGATATGTTATATGAGAGACTTGCTTTGGTTACCAAATAAAGTAAATTTAATTGGATTTGAATTTTAAACATTAAATACAAATTTAAAAGATATTACTTTTTTATTTCACATATTATGGTTTTAGTTACAATACTCCCAAAATAATTCCGCAGAAATTTGCAGATTTTTATGTTTAAATTGTTTATTGTGAAAAAACAAACATTACATCAGTACAGATAGTTACATATCATTCTATTTCTTTTTTTTTACAAGAGACAAAAAAATAATAACAAAATATATATATATATATGTATAATAAAAAAGAGAAATGTTAATAATAATAATGATAATAATAAAAGAGGAAAAGAAAAATAGAAACATAAGTATTAAGTGTACTGAAAATTACAACCAAATATCACAATCAAATGTTCAGATACATTGTCAATGTTGAAAGTAAATATTTACAATTAAACGGTATAAAATGGTATTAGATAAAACAAAGTTTAATTAATACGAAATAAATTAAAAAGGGAGGGAACTCAGGAGAGTGCATCTATTAAATGGAAGGCAATACCTTAAGAGAGTTAAAGTTATAAAACATTGCCACTTTTTAAAGAAATTAGTTTTCCCAGTGCATCTAACCTTTTCCAACTTAAGAAAATGCATGGTATCTACAAGCCATTGGGATGTAGTTGGAGGCTTATTTGATTTCCAGTGAAGTAGTATACGACGCCTGGCTATTAGTGAGGTAAAGGCCAAAACATCAAGTTGTTTATAATTAAATTGGGACCAAATCTTTGGAACCCCAAAAATGGCAACATCAGGGGATGGGTTTATATTTACCTGCAACACCTTGGACATAATTGTAAAATAATTAATCCAATAATTCTGTAATAGTGGGCACATAAAGAACATATAACTCAAATTACACCTTGGTGCATGACATCTGTCACATCTGTCATCGGTATTGGGAAAAATTTCAGATAGCCTGGTTTTTGAGAAATGGACTCTATGAAAGACTTTGAATTGTATCAGACTAAGCCGAGCGCAAATTGTACTAGAACGTATTCTCTGCAGTGCACCAAGCCACCATTCCTCCTCAAAACATATTCCCAATTCATTTTCCCAAGATTTCTTAATTTTAGTAAGAGAACCATCATTCAAGCTCAAAATGCACCCAAATCTGCAGATTTTTACCAAAACTCCCCGCAGAAATAGCCAAAAACGTCTGCAGATTCCGTCTGGCAATAGATCCATCATTCATGACGCAAGCGTGCTCGAGTTCAGAAGGCAAATGCTGTGAGTGCGGGCCATCGGGGGAGAGGGGACAGTACCGCTTCGGCACATTTCAAGCAACTGTACCTAGTGTGAGTACGCCCTGAGAGACCCTTGCCACAATGATGTAGGCTATTTAAGGGTGCTTTCACACCTGTAGATTGATTCTCTAATTCTGAAACGGGGATTAACATTGTTACGATGTTGCGTTTTGCTCTTGGTGCGGTTCGCTTTCACAAGGCAACGTTTCTAAACGGACCAAAAGAGCTAAAATGGGTCACATCATGCGAGTGAATTCTCCTCACATTGGTCAGAGTTCAATGGTTTATTTTTTTATTCCATGGTCCGCTCAGCTGTCATGCATCCTTATTTTAATTTATGATGATAACCAATAAGACATTATAAGGGAAAAGATTAGCTTTCATTTTAAATGATGACACCCACCCAAATATACAGGGTGGGCCATTTATATGGATACACCTTAATAAAATGGGAATGGTTGATGATATTAACGTCCTGTTTGTGGCACATTAGGATGTGAGGGGGCAAACTTTTCAAAATGGGTGGTGATCATGGTGCCCATTTTGAAGTCGGCCATCTTGGATCCAACTTTTGTTTTTTTTAATAGGAAGTGGGTCATGTGACACATCAAACTCATTGGGAATTTCACAAGAAAAACAATGGTGTGTTTGGTTTTAACGTAACTTTATTCTTTCCTGAGTTATTTACAAGTTTCTGACCAATTATAAAATGTGTTCAATGTGTTGGATTGTCAGTGAAACCCTCTTCTCCCACTCTTCACACACTGATAGCAACACCACAGGAGAAATGCCAGCACAGGCTTCCAGTATCCGTAGTTTCAGGTGCTGCACACCTTGTATCTAAAAAACAAAAGTTGGATCCAAGATGGCCGACTTCAAAATGGTCACTGCTTAATTTGGCCAACTACACTACTTTATTTCAATACTGGTCATTTCGGTGGTACTTGGTGAAAAAGTGTGATAACCACTGTTAAGGGATTCGTTTTAACATGCGCAAGCAACAGGACATCAATTAATTTTACCTGTAGTGCTTCTGTGTACACTCTCGTGTGTTCAGTTAGTTTCACTTTTGCTTTGGCCTTCGTGGGTGCATGGGAGGAATGAGCCACGACGAGATAATCATCTGTTGCCTATAATGTTTACTTAGCATCTTAAACAACATAGATTCAGTGTTTACTCACAACAGTACACGTGGCATTAACACACAGCGTACCATAACTGTCAACATTAGGATGTGAAAATAAGGGATCCCGCCTCAAAACAAAAATCCCCTAATAAGTAAACATGTTAATCTGGAGCTGTTTTATTGTAAATAATAAGTTGAAACTATGTTTTTTTCTATTTATTGTTATTATTTAGAAAGGATGGAATAAATAGTATACACTAGAAAAAGCTGCAAATAAATTAGCAAACAGCCTATTTAAATGATCAGCTATTATAAAGAAATTGTATCGAGTTCTCATCAACATGTCTTTCTTCACTATATGACTTTAAACATTCTGATCAAAGAGAAGCGAATGAATCTCTCATTTAGATGTTTTATTTGATCACATTAAATAACATTTAAAAATGCACAGACCTAAAATGAAAGCTTTCGATTGGTTTCCTAACCGTTTATGCTCATTTAAGACTAAATTTGTTGTGTTTAACAGAAAACCCACTGAGATTGAGATGTTTTCCCACTTCAAATCGCATGTACAGAATGTGTTTGGGAAACAGCGTCTATTTGTCTGTATGGAGGGCATCTGACAGTCACGCACTGCTACATGAACTGACTGTTTTGAGTATTGCATAGAAGGGCAACGGCACATGTAAGGGAAATGAAGGGAATCCTGCCGTTTTTATATATATTTCAACGTGTTTTCATGCCTATATAAAGTAAGAGCACAGAACAGATTCACATTTAGGAGCGAGTGGTGTTTCTTTAGTGGTTCGGCGATATGTATTGCATATAGGGAGGATCGGCTCTTTAATGTTTATTAACAACCTTCGTAGAAATATTAAAAATATGGGAGAAATACAGGAAAATACCTTTACAGCATGAAAGCAGGATACCATTGTAAAATACTGGAGAATCCTGGGAAAAGCGTTGACGGGTATGCAGCTCACACGTCACTGTTCCCACTGTCTGGTGCTCTTGCTCCGGCACAGAACAGCAGCTTTTCAGACCGTGCGATGAGCAATTATAGAGAACTCTCTAATGATCTGACCATCCTGTACACCAGTGGTCACCAAACTTGTTCCTGGAGGTCCGGTGTGTCCTGCAGATTTTAGCTCCAACCCTAATCAAACACATCTTAACAAGCTAATCAAGGTCTTTGTAAGAGTTGAAATATTGCAAATATTTTGATGTCTTTGACAATTCAAAACATGAGCTGAAAACAGACTGGTGACTCCACAACCCAGCAGGTGGGAATGCGGGAAAAAACAGTTCCTGCTGCATTTGCATCTGAGTCTGCTGAAGCTCGGCTTCAACCACCCCAACTCACGCATATGGTCATTTCAATGTTTGAATGTTCTAGATTAACCAAACTGACTTTATCATGTTTGATATAATTTGAAATGTCTCAGTGCGACTGGTACAATGGTCTCATTCTCTCAGAAACAGACATATTCAGAACAATAAATATATAACTTCAGGCATCTTTTGAACCACTGTGAAGGGTGTGACTTTTCCACTAAGTGTGAATGCCTTTTGTTATACATTCACACCCCCTTCCTTGAGGGAATTCTTGGATTATTTAAGGTAAGGTTTGAGAAAGGCGCAGGGCGATTCTGCCTAACCAGATCAGCCCATAACATGACTTGCTCCATGTTATGTATATTTCAAAGTCAGGAATGCATCTTTTAATCTTGGATTTATCTTTGATAATTTGATGTCTTGTACTGATCATTTATGAATTGACTGATTGATTTTGGCGTAATACATTTACCTGACTAATAAATTATGTTTTGAATTATTCATACCTCGTGTTATTATCACTGATAAATGTTGTTGTCCATAGCACTACAAGCCACTGTACAGGTTAGTAACGGACTAAAACATGTTAGACGGAGCAGCGTGGCACGCTATACAATGTTGGTAGAGATCCGACTAACAAATTGGCATTAATTCAAGTATACTTGGACTGTAAAAGGCCAACTATTTAGAACAACAAAATATTGTTGAAACTACTTTAAATGTGGATATTCAGGCCTTCATCTACAAACGTATAATCCTGCGCGATTATTATTAAAATACTTTGTCTTGATTCAGTAGATAACAGATCTATGGGGACCACATAAAAATCTCCTAAATAGAGTAAGTAGGGTTCTGCCTTTTTAGGAGAGCGGTTAATCGCCTCTGTTTAATGACCAAGACTGACAAGCTTGTATTAAGAGATTGTATACCCGGCCGGTGCAAGACTCGAGATGCTATAGGAATCTGAGTAAATGAAAATAAGGTATAATAACAAATCAAAAGAATATTCAATCATAATCTAAAATAATGTGAAAGGAAACAAAATAACCTTCTCAATGTTTTATAATTGGAGTCAGATAAAACGAGGATAAACATATTAATATTCTAAACCACCTCATACTAAAATTGGAGTCAGATATGAGTTAAGTTTAATATAAATCAACATTGTGCACTGGAAAGGCCGAACATGCAGTGAACTTTCATCCACCAGTGGATACCGTCATTGGAACAACTGGCTGGACCTTACATCTTACTAGGTATACTTGAATCATCCAGGCTGGTGTGTTGAGGCAAGTTGGAGCTAAACCCTGCAGAGACACCAGCCCTCCAGGACCGAGATTGGTGACCCCTGCTGTACACCAGTGCATACTCTCTGATTGACGCCAATAGAAATGAAAACAAAATAAACTCAGTGTGCTTGGTTGAATATCAATAAAGTGTTTACGTTTGGTCTTTTAAAAACACTGCTGTAACACATTGAGCCTCTAAACATTGTTCTTATGACGTTTTTCTACAGGAGGAAAACTCTAATAACTTCCAAATACTACAAATATAGTCTGTTAGTAAATGCAGAGATATTGATGAAATCCAGACATAATGCTGCTTTAAAGTTCTAAATAATACTGTAAATGATAAAGAAATGATCTTAAATACATTTGTAGGTAAAAGTTCATTTTTACATTGATTCGCCTTACAGGAAGTTCACTCAGCAGGGAAATGAAGGTGGCTTGAGTGGTTTGTGAGCACAATAAGTGCACAGCGTGCCATCTTCTCTGATAATTGTAGGAAATAATCCAAAAGCGTAATCGACTGTGCCACAAAAAACAAAACAAAAATGTGATATACATGACTAGTTCAGCAGCTAATCAGCCAGAATCCGCTGAGGTGGAGAGGGTGCTCGCTGCAGAGCCATTTGAGGAGAGCTGAGCTCCAACGAGGGGGAGCATGAGCTGTCGCTCCTCCTCCTGTAAGCTGTTTTAATGCGTACACCAACCCCACCCCTAACCCTACCCCCAGTGACATCACTCGTAGAAGAAGTGCAAAAAAGGTGGAGCTCAAGCTTAAGCTCCCCCTCGCTGGAGCTCATCTCCCCTCAAATGGCTCTGCAGCGAGCACCACTTGGCTGAGGTGATGTGTCAGCGAGGCCTAGCTGTCACTCAAGTGGCCACACCCTTAATTATTCAGTTCATGTATATTAAACGAGTGAGTTGTAAAAGACAAATTCACCCCCTGTAGGCCCGTAGCCAACCTGGTGAAAGGGTCAGTTCTTTTTTTTCTTAAAAAGTGGACAGTTTTGCAGTGATACGCCTCCATTTTCTATTTAATTATTACATTTAAATGCTGCATTTTAGCGACATTAAGCACTTATCTGAATTTGCTTGTCAGATGATCATCTTAACCACATTGTATTGACTATTTTAGCCAAAATAGTATTGAAATCAATTTTAATATGGGACACTTTTGGTGCTTCACACCTTTCTATTGGTCTTTTTTTTTTTAAGAATAAGGTCCAATGTTTAAAATATACAATACAATAGCAAAAGATGACTTCTCTGATGCCAGATTGCATTTTCTTGCACTACTGGATGTGGTACTCATGACAAATATTTGTTAGCACTGGCCAAACTGAAGTCACGTCCAAGAGATTCAGAGGATTCTGCTTGATCGTAAAGCCTTTTTTTCCTGATGTTTGCATCATGATGTAATAGCAGTCAAAATACGACAAATGAGCTCACGTATGGGACAAATTCTGGAGCTTTATCAGTGAGGGTGGGTCTTGCAATCCTTTCTTTTTTTTCCAACAGTAAATTGTCAGCAATTATCACAGTATAATCAAACATTGTGAACTATAGAAGCAGGGGCGGACTGGCCATCTGGCAATTCTGGCATATGCCAGAAGGGCCGGACCAATTTTTAAATGTGGGCCGGTCAGTTTTATTTTTTTATATGTATTGTTTTTAAGTGCAGGGAGCTTTTATCTCTTGCTAGATGTGATATTATGATGATGATAAAAAAAAAATAATAATAAATGTTAAACATTTGGCCCAATCGGCAACTGCCGCCTGGTTTCAAGATGGGCCGACCCAATCCAAGGTTACCCGGACATATTCAAAATCTGGCAATAATGTCATATTATTTCACCATCTTTACACCAAAATAAATAGTGAATGTGGGTGGGGCTGTGTCGGTGTGGTAATGTGGGCTGGTGTGGTAACAGTGCCAGGGCTGAATTTTTGTCCCAGTCCGCCCCTGTATAGAAGAAACATAGAGGATGCCAGGGGGAATAAAGCAGTAAAGAAAACAAAAAGGTAAACAAGAAATACATATAAAATAAAGCTTAAAATAACAAAATATTACGAGTGTAAGCAATTTAAAGTGAAATACTGATGTTATAAGGGGATGGTGTATACTGGTGTTTAAATAGGGCATGACAAGATATTGTTTTCCTAGACTTAGTTTTTTTCTGAACTAGAAAGTGTTCTGAAATATTGTTTCAATTCTTTTATGAATACCTTAAAAAGCAGTTTATTATTGGATAATAATTTGTGGATGTGATATTTAGCAAGTAAAAGATCTAGGAAGTAGAACGCTTTCTCTGTATTATTGTCTGTACCGATAAAACCAAAATAACACATTTTCCCAAAACAAAGAAAAAAATGGAATATATAAACTCAAACACAAATTTGCAAAAGTTACCCCAAAATATTGTTACCCCAATTTTTTCATTTTGTAAATTGCAGAAAACGCGCATTTTGCCGATATCTGATTTAAAGCTACTCACTGGGTAGGATCTGTGGAACAGTTTTTGCGATCCCTATTTTTTAACAACAGCATGTTGCGCTCGCTTCAGCGTGATGACGTCAGCACTGACGCGTTCATCCAGCGTCGAGTCTTCAGAGCTGAGGTGAGTCGTTGACGCTTTTTCTCGTGTTTACACAACAATAAAACACACTTTACAGTTTATTAAAGCGACAATCTGCGACTAGTTTCTGCATTGAGTTCACCTCTATCTGTGTGTCTGCTGACCAAAACAACACAGCAGGCGGAGAGCAGCTCTGAGAGGACAATATGAGTGAATGTGCTTTTCTGTATATCTTCAGTGTGTACCTTCTTCAACTTCTGGATTAATAATATTTATAAATGTGACCTGTGAATGTAATTTAGTGTTGTAGGTATATGACGTTTAGCACTGAAAACATGATTTGTGGTGCTCATAATAACTAGTGAATATAGTAAATAGTAATAAGGTAACTTACTAAAGTAACTGTACGTTACTTTACATAGCCTGTGTATGTGGTAGCAAAAATGTGGTAAATGCTTTCGAGGTATTTAAACTGTAGGTCTATGTAGAGCTCTGAAATAAAACAACACTGGTTTCCACCTTATGATATTGAAGTCTTCAGATCAGGTTAATTGTATTAGTTTCAACAGACTTGGGGAAAATTGCGTAATTACCTGTTGTATTGTCGACAAGATAAAACTATCAATATAATTTATTTCATTAAGCAGTGTAAGTTAAGCAGATTTGTCTGTTTATTATTCTTCAGTTAAGCTGTGAATACTGGAATATCCCCATCAATCCATCCATCAGGAAGATTTTTAGAGTTTATTGAAGGACAGTGAGAAGATGAGTGATCCAGAACCCTGCAGAATTAAACAGGAAGACACTGAAGAACTAATAGGTTTGTGTTTATTCATTACTCTACAATAATGAGGCTGAACAGCAGTGAAGTTGTGAATCTTTTAGCTCTTTATCAGTCTTGGTTCTTTTTCCTTTTACCTTTTATTTTATATTGTTTACAATTAGTGTTTAAAAATGCAATTCATCCTCAACTTTCCTTCATGTATCAAATTTGCCATATATATTTACATGTATTATATAGTTTTGGGTAAGTTGCACAAAGTAATAGATTACAAATTACTACTTGAAAGTTATAATCTGATTACATGACTAATTTCTACATGTAGAAAATAAACAGACACTTTTAAGTTACTTTGTACGTCTTTTTAGGTTTTTTAAGTAAAAAGTTGTAGGTCTTTAATTATATAAAATTGAAGAAAAATAGGACAAAGATTTACACTGTTTTATTAACATTACAATAAAATTATTGTAAGCCTTTTGAGATTTGCTGACACAAAGCCCCGTCACAATGTATTCCTAAACAGATCCAGCACTTTTATCACGTTGATCAAATTACAACAACTTTAACCATGAGGTAAACACAAAACAAAACTTTCCATCCGGAGCTCCTTCATGGGACTCAACGTTTGTAAGCAGTCGCTCCAACAGACTCGCGCGGCTCTCAGTCCCGCCCACACTCGTCAGTGCTTGTTACGACTGAAGTTTATTTATTTATTTATTATTGCGAATTGTACTGTCTTTTTCTTTGTCCCGCCTTCTTGTTGTTTTTCTGTTGTCTCATAGGCTCCCATACCGGCATGATCCCGTGTTCTGATTGGCTGCTGGTCTCGGAGGCCTGTATATAAGGGAGCTTCCGGCAGGGTTCTGGGAGCTCATTTTCGTTGCGACAGTTGTTGGGAGTGGAGCTCCTGGATTTCCCTCACCCCTCCGGCCGATGACCAACAACCGATTTTGTACTAATGTTCGTTAAACGTTAACCTTTGTTGAGAATTTGAGCGTGTAGGGGTGGCCTGCCTATTTATTTGATTACTTTTGACTTTGTTTATGTTTATGGAGTAAGGTAAACTTCTTGTATTTTTCTTTAAATAGTAATAGGTAATTTAGTGCATTTACTTTATAGATTCTTTTTTTGTTTTGTTATTTTGGCCTGTGGTCACCCTGAAGAGACGGTCATTTATATTATCTACATTTTTTTATAATAAATCTATTCATATACTCTCAACTGCGTTTCTGAGTTTGGTTGTCGATCGAAGGGAATCTTTTGCCTTAAGTTTTGTTTGGGAAATCCACCACCCCAACACATTTGTTTTCTTCGTTTATTATGCCCATATTGTTCCTCCTAGACTTGGAGCATAATAAGCCGAACAATCACAGAGCTGCATTTTTTAAGAGGTGCGCGTCACTAAGGGCTATGCGTCCACGTGTGGGCCAACACCGTAGCATGTGCATGCGCTTGGCGCAGAAGTATAAATCAGCAATTAATCAGAGTTCCTCACACTATTGAGCCCTGCTAGAGCACCATCTGCTGTTAGCAAACTGATAGAAAGTAGCCTCTTAAAATATAATTTACTTGCTTTATTTTCAGATGTGATGGGAGCAGTGAAGAGTGAAGAACTGAGTGAAGATGAGGAGAAACATCAGGTCAAAAGTGAAAGAAAAAATCAGCCAAATATGGAACGCAGTTTTTTAGTGAATACAACAGCCGTAAAAGGTTTCACCTGCACTCAGTGTGGAAAGAGTTTCGGGCGTAAACATGATCTCAATCGTCACATGAGGATCCACACTGGAGAGAGACCTTACAAGTGTTCACACTGCGACAAGAGATTCAATGAGCCAGGATACCTGAAAGCACACGAGAGGATTCACACTGGAGAGAAAACACACACATGTGATCAATGCGGCAAAATATTTTTGAGGTCTTCCGATCTGAAGACCCATCTCATAGTTCATAAAAATGAGAAGCCTTATTCATGCTCTGAGTGTGGAAAGAGTTTTAGACATAAACTTTATTTAAAAGTACATCAGAAGGTCCACACTGGTGTGAGAGACTTTGTGTGCTTAGAGTGTGGGAAGAGTTTTACTAGCTCTGGAAACTTGAAACAACACCAGATGATGCACACTGGAGAGAAACCGTACAAGTGTTCACACTGCGACCAGGGATTTGCTTGGCCACAATCACTGAGAAGACATGAGAGAATTCACACTGGAGAGAAACCGTGCGCATGTACTCAGTGTGGGAAGAGTTTTATTAGAGCTGGAGACTTGAAACAACACCAGAGGACTCACACTGAAGAGAAACCGTACCAGTGTTCACACTGCGACAAGAGATTCAGTCTGTTACAATACCTGAAACGACACCAGAGGATTCACTCTGGAGAGATACTGTACACGTATTCAGTGTCTTAAATACACACATGAGGATTTACTGTGGAGAGAAAACACACAAATGTGATCAGGGCCAGAGTGGGACTCCTTTTCAGCCCTTAGACCGGCCCACCTCAGTTCATGATTGACTATATTAAAATAAGGTCATTTCTAATTCAGTTTCTAATGACACGATCATGTCTTTTTTCAAGGAAACAGCTGCTTTAGAACTTCAAATGTTTTTCATCAATATGAGAACATTGAAGAATAGCTAAATCTCCAGCACTACTCTTTAAAACATCACAATGTCTTTTCCTGCAATATCTGAATGTATATTCTGTGCAAAATTCTTTATAGATGTCCAGTCATTTGTAACGGTGGTCACACAAAAAATAAAAATAAAATATGTACACCTATATAAGTAATCCAAAGAGTGTTATATGTCTTAACACTAAAGCCTGGTTTATACTTCTGCGTTAAGTGACCGGCGTGACCCACGGCGCATGCAACCTGCGTAGCTGTGCATGTATACTTCTGCGCGCTGTCTCTGTTGGTCTGCATTAACACTTCTGAAACGCTAGTTGGCAGTGAGGTGTTAATGCTTCTCTGTGTCGAGTTTCTTCGCTGCTGTTTTGCTTTTCCTGAACACTTCCTGAATGTACAAGTGGCTTAAACTCGCTCATTTTGAGGCAGGAACCGGCGGACGTGCAACAACTTTAACTATGAGGAAAACACAAAACAAAACTTTCCATCCGGAGCTCATTCACAGGACTCCACACTTGTAAACAATCGCTGCATCAGGCTCGCACCATTCACGCGGCTCTCGGTCCCGTCCAGACTCGTCAGCGCTACCAAGCCGACCAATCACAGAGCTTGCGCTACGCGTCGTTGCAACGTGTAGTTACATTTTTTGAGAGGTGCACGTCAGCGACGCCGATGGCCACGGCGTAGGGCTATGCATCAACGCCGTAGCATACGCGTGCGTTTGAAGCAGAAGTATAAATCAGCCTTTAGAATAAAATTATATATATATAAGTGCGGTTCGAACTTGGGTCGGTGACATTGTAACGCAACGTGCTGACCACTGGACCACAATGGCACTGTTATGCTGGTGCGCTTGGATTAAAAAATAAGGGTTGCACTGTTGTCTCAAGTATTGACAAGTTATGTCAGATTTATTAATATAGTGAATCATCTGATTTTCATTGAGCAGGTGTAATATTCATTAATATTAATTATTCAAATTCTTATATTCACTAAGGTGCCGCTGTTTGGGGTTGAATGATAGTTACGTCATCATTAACCTGCAGGCTGCATTTTGCTCACAGGGCTGCGAGAAAATAAATAAAAAGAGCGGCGCTGCGGCAAAATAAAAAGAGTGAGGCTATAGTCAAATAAATAAATAAATGTAAAAAGTGCGACTGCTCAGAGTGCAAGCATCTAGGGACACCGGCCCAATAGGGATTCTCCCGGTCCTCCCGATTAGCCAATCCAGGCCTGAATGTGATCAATGCGGTGAAACATTTTTGAAGGCTTCAGCGCTAAAGAAACATCTTCAAGTTCATACGAGGAGAAGCCTTATCCATGTTCTTTAGCTCCATCAGAATCTTGCTCAGCCCCTGACAAGGATATCCCAATAAATTTTCCTATTTCCTTTAATGAGATAAAACAGTCAGTTTCTGTGTACAACCCTTAAGCAGTAAGTCCCCGGCATACTTTAAACAAAACTGAGGAGCAAACTGAAAAATCCATCTGAAACTGAGTTAATTTTGAGTTTGTTGTTGAAGTTCGCATCAGATGAGGGACTTCATTTTGGCTCCTAAACACCTTTGAGCTGCCATTGGTCTGTAGTGATTCTGCAGTCTGTTCTGGAGCTCCGGCTTCTTTGACATGCAAGTTCTTCCCCCCAATTAATTTCTGACTCCACGATGTTCAGACAGGAGAACAACACCCAAAACAGCAACACTAGCCACATGAATACACTGAAGAGTGGAGCAGCAGAGCTGGTGCAGATATATCCGCACCTGTACAATCGCTAGTGGAGTCTCTCACTGAATGAGAAGCCCACCTTATCTTTTCTATCAGCTTGTGCACACCGGCAGCACCAAAATACACAAACTAATCCTGTTTATATGAAATAAAGCTGCTGGGTGTTGCTAAATAAAGACGCGGGGCATGAGCGCAGCCAAAGATGACTTAGCGTTTTGCTTAGATGGGTTTTTCTTTTGGATAAACGCTAAACACTTGAGTTCTGACCACATGTGCTTGGTTGTATACAGGGCCGACCCTGTACATTCAGGGGCCCTAAGCTGAATAATATTGAGGCCCTATCATGCTCTGATAGTAGCCGTTGCAAATCAGCCCTTAATGGTTGTATTGCTTATTAAATACATCAGTAGCTATGTTTCCATCCACCTATTTTAATGTGCATTTTGAATATGTGCATAAAAACGGTCATTGGAAATGCCAAGATGCGCATACATTTTGAAAATGCGCAAAAAAATAAAAAAACGTGCATAACTGAGTAGGATACATTTTTTATTCGAAAAGGAAAGATGCTCATACACTACGATGGAAACACTTTTACTGCACAAATTCCAGTATGCGCATTAAAAAAGGTCATGTGATTTTGTTATAAGAGATCATGTGATAATGATAATTTGTGTGAATGCACAAACCAGCAGGTTTGAGCACACTGTAAACCATCTGAAATGTTGTTTTTGGTCATTCTAAAACACCTGAACTGTTTCAGTAAGGAGGTTCAAACAACTCAGAGTTTAAACTTGAACTCTGAGTTGATTTACCGAGAGATTAAAAACTCTGAGTTTTCGGTTTCAGAACAGCTGATCTGAGTTGGGTCAATCAACTTCGAGTAGACCAACTCAGAGTTAAGCGCGCACACCGTGACTTTAAAAAGGCATTATCAATGGAGCGCAGACATTACGAGTGACTATGGCAATATCTTATAAAAGAGATCACCATTTCTTTCTCCAGCTGAACTTGATGTTCTCATGCAAAGTTATAGCAAATATGAGTGTATATATTTGAAAAGAAGCAACCATCAGTGAAGAAGAGACAGTTAGCGTGGAAAACAGCTGCTCAAGTTAATGCCTAATTTCACTTTTTAAGTATTTAAATATTTAAGTATAATAAAATAAGTAATGTAATTTGTGACGTTTATATTTTTTTTCTAAACTTTTTTATACATTTATTAGTTTTAAATGATTTAACAGTGCACTTGTGTGTCTGCCTTTTTTATTGATCAAGTGATAGAGGTTAATATAACATTTAGAAGGTAAGCAGTACTAAAAATATTTTTAGAAAGAATAATAATCCCATTAATCTAGTTACAGTGCATGTCGAAGGTGAATTTAATTGAATTATTTATTAAAAAAGGATAAGCCATTCTAGTACAGTTATTCTGTGTGTGACTAAAATGTAGGCAATAGCTATGTTTCCATCCAAATATATTACATAAATGTATGTGCAAAACTGGAATATTGCATAAAAGATGCGAATAAAATTCCATCCAACGAGTCAAAGAGAAAAAAATCGTCACTTCCTGATTAAACTGGCACCAAATATCAACAGTAAAAGCAGAATTTACTGTGGTAGAAGAAGCTGCGTCAATTAATTCTTTATTTAGCCTAATTAATGTACACGTGGGGGCGTCTGAAGCCATGAGACGCGGAGACTCTTGACACGCACCAGACATTCGGAGGCAATTAATAATATACACTAATACTGAAACAGTTCAGGCATTTTAGAATGACTAAAACAATATTTAAGACGTGTTACAGTGTGCTAGGCCTGCTGGTTTGTCCATTTACACACATTTTCATTATCATATGATCATGATCTTTTTTTTAATGTACATACTGTAATTTGTTCAGTAAAAGTGTTTCCATCGTAGTTTATGCGCACATTTTATATCGAATAAAAGTTTATCCTACTCAGTTATGCGTGTTTTTTATGCATATTTTAAAAAGTTATGTGCATCATGACGTTTCCATCAATCGTTTTTATGCACGTCCAAAATGAGCATTAAAATAAGTGGGTGGAAACGTAAGACTTAGGCGAGAAATACCACTTCATCTTTAAAAAAGGGGAGGAGACCGACAGAAACTCTGAGTTTAGAGAATAAAACCTGCTTCTGACCAGGTTAGATTCACAGAGTTAGTTACCACAGTAACTGACTCTGAGTTAAAGTTACCTCTCTTTCAGAAACAGGCTTGACTTACCCTGCTTTCTCGAGTTTAACAAACCTGCCATTTTGAAACGGAAAACCCAGAGTTTCTCTCATTTCAGGGTTAAAATACTCTGAGTTTTCAGTTAACCTCCTTTCTGAAACAGGCCCCTGAACTGTTTCAGTATTCGTGTTATATTATTGAGCGTCTGTGCTCTGCGTCCTTCAAATGGCACGGCGCAATCACTGCTTGTCAGGATTGTCTTCTGAGGCGCAAGCACATTTATTAGATGAAGACAAGATTGATGCAGCTTTTACTAGTAGCCTACTACTTTTACTAGTAACAATAACATTCATTATATCAGAAATTACCATTGTTTGTTATTCATATATATCATGTCACATTTTCAGCAGTTTAGTTATCAACAACTGGATTATTAATATCAACAATTAAATTGTTAATTTCAAGAATTTATATCCTGACAATAAATAAACATCAAAACAGCTTGCCATATTGTCAACAGTTGGCGCGTATTTTACGATCCTCCAATGCGCTCGGCCTCACCGTGATGACGTCAGTGCTGACGCGTTCATTTAGCGTCGAGTCTTCAGAGCTGAGGTGAGTCGTTGACGCTTTTTCTCGTGTTTACACAACAATAAAACACACTTTACAGTTTATTAAAGCGACAATCTGCGACTAGTTTCTGCATTGAGTTCACCTCTATCTGTGTGTCTGCCGACCAAAACAATACAGCAGGCAGAGAGGAGCTCTGAGAGGACGATATGAGTGAGTTAGAATTTTTCTGTGTATCCTTTGTGTGTAACAACTTCTGGATTAATAATATCTATAAATGTGATCTGTGAATGTAATTGTAACTTAGTGCTGCAGATATATGACGTTTATCACTGAAAGCATGATTGTGCTGCTCATTATTAACCAGTGAATATAGTTTATAGTATTAAAGTAACTGACTAAAGTTCCCTATTTGTTTGTGTCTTTACATTCCACTTTTTATGTGGTAGCAAAGATGTGGTAATGGTTATGAGGTATTTAAACTGTAAGCCTGTTGAGATTTCTGAAAAATAAATAATTTAGTGTTAAACAGTCAGTATAAAATGAGCTGATCTGCTGCTGTTTAATGAGTGTTTATAGTCTGAGACTCATTAATATTATCAGAGCTGCTGAAATCCTCTTTATTTCATGTCAACAGTTCCTGTTTTCACCACATATTGATGTCTTCAGATCTACAAATGAAGTTGATTGTGTTTGTTTCAACAGACTTGACGAAATTACATAATTACCTGTTGTATTGTCTACAGGATAAAGCTATCATAATATAATATATTTCATTAATCAGTGTAAATTAAGCAGATTTTTTTGTTTCTTTCTTCAGTTCAGCTGTAAATACTGGAATATCCCCATCAGTCTACAAGTGAAGACGAGCATCAGACCATCAGGAAGAAGAGAAATCTGCAAAGGACAGAGAGAAGATGAGTGATCCAGAACCCTGCAGAATTAAACAGGAAGACATTGAAGAACTAATAGGTTTGTGTTTATTCATTACTCATCAATAATCAGGCTGAATAACAGTAAGCTTGTGATTTTTTTTTAGCTCTTTATCAGTCTTGGTTCTTTTTCCTTTCACCTTTCATTTTATATTGTTTACAATTTGTGTTTAAAATGCAATTCATCCTCAGTTTTCCTTAATGTGTTTAATTTTGCCATATATTTTTAGATGTATATTATATAGTGTTGGGTAAGTTACACAAAGTAATAGATTACAAATTACTACTTGAAAGTTATAATCTGGTTACATGACTAATTACTAAATGTAAAAAGCAAACAGACACTTTCAAGTTACTTTCTACGTCTTTCTTTAGGTTTTTAAAGTCAGAATTGTAGGTCTTTCAGTTATTTAAAATTGACCGGAAAATACTACAAAGCTTTACACTGTTTTATTAACATTGTTTGTTGTTGTCATTTAGGAATCCCTGACACAAAGCCCTGTCACAACATATCCCTGAACAGATCCAGCACTTTTATCACATTGAAGTTTATAAGCGCTCATGCTGTGTGCATCAGACGGTTCACAATATCACAGCTGAAGTTCAGCTAGAATTGTTTTGCAGCATTTATAACCAATTATAGCCTAGTACCCATTTATTGATCAGGTTTTATATCTTTTTTTTTATTTAAGCTTTTATTGACATATATTCTCCTGAACACATTTTACGTACACATCTATTCTTATGGCTCGTTTCCACTGAAAAGTACAGTACGGTATGGGTCACCTTTATCAGGCTTGCGTATCCACTCCCAAAAGGGTACCCTTTTTGTGGGCGAAGTGTATGACAGAAAGTTTCAGATGATGTCATTTTTAACTCAAGGAAATGTCTACAATAAAGCTGTACGGGTCGCTTACATATCATATAAGCAGCACTTCTCACAAAACAGATGCTTTAAACACAAATACTTCTGCATAAATATCCATCACTAATCTTTCTATGAATATGATTTGATTATAACTGCAGATCAATGACAGTGTGTAATAGCCTTATTTAACGTCTGCAATTATATAAAATAAACAAATATATGAACGCATACAGACCCTTACAGTCTCCGAAATGTTACCAATTACAGAAAAACTACACACAGCAGACATTTAGTCCTTATTTAGGTTAAAAAACAACACAAAATATAGCTTACAGGCAGTGAAATCCTCTCATCTGTGTCTGTAATATTCAGCAGCACGTGCAAACTCTGTTAGAAAGTAATTGCTTTATTCCGAGTACATAATGGTTCAAAAGCTGATGATAAACATGCCAGTTTGTTCATGTTTTAAGTTGCAGAAGGTTAATTTGCTGCTGTTTTTTCCGGCTTCTTCTTTTTTTTCACGCTCTGATATTAGAGCGAATCAAAAATCACGCACACATTACAGGGCTCGAAATTGCGACCATTTTGGTCGCATATGTGCCCGAAATTTTATCTATGGGTCCTCAAAATATATTTGGGAGCATTTCTGCGAGTGGATAAAATTGTTGTGTGCGACCACTTATACTGCAAAATGTTCACCACATGCGCGGATTCGGGAGACATTCACGCGGAATGCATCTCTAAGCTCTTTGTCTGCACTTGAAACATGAAACGCAGCGCTCAGGAACGGTTTAAAACAGTTGTCATGTCAACTTGCTGCAGTAAATAAAGCCAAGTCCGTAATGCTTGCCCCGCCTTCGCGCTCTTCTTATTGGCCCACCACTGCTCTAGCACTGAAATATCAGCTGTCAATCACTCAGTCAATGCCTTCTGGCTTGGGATGACAGAGAGAGCTACTACCATAAAAAATTGAAAAGCGCTAAAGATGAGAATGAAGATAACACTGACAGATTGTGTTTTAGAAACCGTGGCATCTAAAGTTACAAATAATGACACATCTTACTAGTGATCATGTGCTGAATGTTAATCCACCATCTACACTTTTCCAAGAGTAGAAGACTTCCACTGGCTTTAAGTCCGCTATGAAAAGTCTGTGGGATGGAGTTTTCAGGAAACTGTTTGCCACATCTAGCACGAGAGCTTCTGTTTAATCCTTCATATAATCGCCAGATGCTGTCTGCCGTGCAAGTGGCGGCTATATGTCAAATTTAATACCATGTAAACCATCGCATACGGGCTTACACTGACTAAACTAACATCGCTACTCATAAAAATTAACATGACGTATGCATATAATAAGGTACAGTATATGTCAAAAGCATCAGTGCAATATCAGACAGCACCCGTGAGAACAGCACAGTTATACCGTTAACAGATTCATTCATGTCCAGCAGTGCGTGCAGGGCCGGTGAGCGCTCCGTGTATGCTTTGGTCACTCAGTTATGTTAGAAAAATCTATTTTCCTGTTATAAGGGGATTTCGTTGAGACATATTTTCCTTACGCTTGCATATATATATATTTTTTTTTTTCTGCTTGTTAGTTTGATTAGTGTTGATTTCAAATGCAATAAATATGTTTGTATAACACTTGTAGTAACGGTGCTTATAATTGGCGGGTGCGACTAAATTTTGGCTGTGCGCCTACATTTTTAAAGTTAGGAGCACCGGTGCTACCAAGCAAAAAGGTTAATTTTAATTAATGTGCTCAAGAAGTTCGTTATATCAAATATAGACGCAATTGCGAGCTCTCCTGACAAAGTGAAACCGCTCGCACTTTTAGACGGGCTCGTAAACGCAGCACATTTTGTTCTTCTTGGCTTAGTGGCTGTTCATCAAGAGGATGACGAGGTTAGTTTGAGCTCGGGGCGATCATGGCTTGGTATTATATGTACATAGTATTACGTTGTGTGCTGATTCGCCTTTATTTAATCACCCTAATTATACAAAGTTAAAATCAGGATCCTCCCTTCGCTATATTTCTTAGCTAGAGTTTAGTTAAAGGATCGTCTTTAAAGAATGTATTTTGCAAAAGAACAAATTAGATTCATACTTCACCACACAGGGTAACTTTGATGGGTTCTGGAAAATGAATTCAATGTCCACTCCAGTGAAGAAAAGTAATCAAATACACTTTTATTAATAAAATAAAATCCAGTGAAAAAGTAGAATAAACAAAAGACAAACAGAAAACAAAAATCCTTACTTTGTCCCCAGTTGGCGGACAAAGGGCAACCAACCTCAATGAACAGAAGTCGGGAACCACAAAGCTGATGAGTACATGTCAGCTTTTATACTCAGTGTCTCAGTGACAGTATTCATAAATCAACCCTAAACACAGATGCACAGACTACTTAAATCATACATTCAAGGAGCATGCTAAAGTAAAAAGACAGATATATAGTCATCAAGAGTACATTATATCATATAAATCAACATTCAGGCATTTTAATATAAGCCTTGATTTATAATATAGATATGCACTTAGATTCAGCTGCGTGAACTCGGTAGAGAGTTCAGCAAAAGTACAAGTTGGGAGTTCATTCAGAGTTCGACTACTAGCAAGAGGGTCATCTGAACTAGCAAGGGGTTCACAGAGAGTTCGTCCAGCTGATTTGTTTGCTCACCGCGCCCTCTGCCGGAGACGCCTCTCCTTTCTCTTACGTTTCACTTCATCATTAAGAGTTGTGCTTTTACGCATAGGAATATCAGAATACATCAGTGATTTTTTGTGTCTCACATGATTAATGTCATTTGACCCATCAATCATTACAGTTGTAATGTCTCGGCTGTGTATTTAGAAATGGTGCTTCCTTTGTTTTCATTCTGACGTATCTCTGACATATCTCTGTAAACCAATAGCGTTCAGCTGCGAGTCTAGCCCTGTCTTTTGGTACCCTTGGTACCCTTTGCAAAGGGTGACCAAAAAGTGGTACAGTTTGGTTCTGTACGCCTTTTGCTAGTGGAAACGTACATAAAAGTGTACCGAACCGTACTGTACCACTCAGTGGAAACTGGCTATTAATCAGAATTGCTCACGCTGTCGAGACCTGCTTGAGCGCCGTCTGCTGTTGGCTAACTGTTAAAAGTAGCCTCTTAAAATGTGACTTATTTACTTAATTTCCAGATGTGATGGTGAAGGCGAAGACTAAAGAACTGAGTGAAGATGAGGAGAAACATCATGTCAAAACTGAAGGAGAAACTCAGTCAGAGATTGATCATAGTTTTTTAGTGAATACAACAGCCGTAAAAGGTTTCACCTGCACTCAGTGTGGAAAGAGTTTTAGGCATAAACGGGATTTCAATCGTCACATGAGGATCCACACTGGAGAGAAACCTTTCCAGTGTTCACACTGCGACAAGAGATTCAGTGAACCAGGAAACCTGAAATCACACATGAGGATCCACACCGGAGAGAAAACACACACATGTGATCAATGCGGCAAAACATTTTTGAGGTCTACAGATCTGAAGACCCATCTTAGAGTTCATACAAACGAGAGGCCTTATCCATGCTCTGAGTGTGGAAAGAGTTATACACATCGATATATTTTGAAAGTACATCAGAAGGTCCACACTGGTGTGAGAGACTTTGTGTGCTTAGAGTGTGGGAAGAGTTTTACCAGCACTGGAAACTTGAAACAACACCAGATGATGCACACTGGAGAGAAACCGTACAAGTGTTCACACTGCGACAAGGGATTTGGTTGGTTAAAATCACTGAAAACACATGAGAGGGTCCACACTGGAGAGAAACCTTACCAGTGTTCACACTGTGACAAAAGATTCAGTCTGTTACAATCCCAGAAACGACACCAGAGGACTCACACTGTAGAGATACTGTACACCAGGGGAGTCCAAATTCGGCCCTCGAGGGCCGGTGTCCAGCAGAGTTTAGCCCCAGCTTGCCTGAACACACCTGCAGGGATGTTTTTAGAAAGCCAATAAGAGCTTGATTAGCTAGCTCAGGTGTGTCTGATTGGGGTTGAAACTAAACTTTTCAGGACACCGGCCCTCCTGGACCGAGTTGTACACATATTCAGTGTCTTAAATACAGACGAGGATCCACACTGGAGAGAAAACAGACAGATGTGATTATCGCGGTGAACATTTTTGAAGGCTTCAACACTGAAGAAACATCATTCATACAAAGGAGAAGCCTTATCCATGTTCTTTAGCTCTATCAGAAACTTGCTCTGCCCCCGACAAGAATTTCCTACTAGATTTTCCTATTTCCTTTCATGAGATAAAACAGTTTCTGTGTACAACCCTTAAGCAGTCCCCGGCATACTTTAAACAAAACTGAGGAGCAAACTGAAAAATCCATCTGAAACTGAGTTAATTTTGAGTTTGTTGTTGAAGTTCGCATCAGATGAGGGACTTCATTTTGGCTCCTAAAACCATTTGAGCTGCCATTGGTCTGTAGTGATTCTGCAGTCTGTTCTGGAGCTCCGGCTTCTTTGACATGCAAGTTCTTCCCCCCAATTAATTTCTGACTCCACGATGTTCAGACAGGAGAACAACACCCAAAACAGCAGCACTAGCCACATGAATACACTGAAGAGTGGAGCAGCAGAGCTGGTGCAGATATATCCGCACCTGTACGATCGCCAGTGGAGAGAGTTTGAAGAGAGTCTCACACTGAATGAGAAGCCCACCTTGTCTTTTCTATCAGTTTGTGCACACCGGCAGCACCAAAATACACAATCCAATCCTGTTAATATGAAATAAAGCTGCTCATAAACCATCTCCATTTTGTTCAGTCGTTATTGCACTAACCACAGGTAAACGAAAATAGGCAACTAGGACAATAGGGAGCTAGAGATGACTTAGCGTTTTGCTTAGATGGGTTTTTGTTTTGGATAAACGCTAAACACTTGAGTTCTGACCACATGTGCTTGATTGTATACAAGGCCAACCCTGTACATTCAGGGGCCCTAAGCAGAATAATATTGGGGCCCTATCAAGCTCTGATAGTTGCCATTGCAAATCGGCCCTTAATGATTGTTTTGCTTATGAAATACACCAATAGCCACATTCACACATACAGACCTCTCAGGAAAATTACCGGCAATTCTCTGGAAAGTCTGAACGTGTGAACAGGCTCTTTTTGAAAATATTAATAAATTCGTTCTGTCAATTTTCCAGAGAGAAGTTGTAACATTAGTGGTAATTTGCCTGAATGCTGCTGTGTGTGAACGCAGAAGGAAGATTGCTGGAAAGAGCGAGTTCACGTCTAGAACCTCTGACGTGAGACGTCTACTTTAGCCAATCAAACACTGAGACGCATTCACATCCATGCTGTTCATAAAATAAAAGCCTTTGCATATCTTTCCAGACACATTCAGCTGCTAGATCTTAGTCAGATAACGTTTCTATGTTCCTTCTTAATGCCAACTGTGGAAAAAATCTGTCGATAAATGCTTATGATAAACCACTGTTTGTTAACCTTCAAGCTCTGCTTCAGTTGCTTTGACACGTATGCGGTGAGCGCCAGCATACACACATTTTATAAACATCTCAACATGCGAAAATGTTCCTCCATATTTTAATTTAAGTTGTTCACCATACTTCTCCATCGACAGAATTTGTAATGTAGTGAAGTGTGTAAACATTTAGCTGCGGTTTGCGGTTCTCTGGGACAAAGCAGCTGCATGAATGCTAAAGCTTTAAATCAAAAGTGAAACCATCAACAAAACCCAGACCACCTCTGTGTTTACAAATACAAGCGCAGCCGTTTAGAGTTCATTTCTGGTTAATGATGTCAGTATATACAGGTATTTTGGAATTGATGCGTGAATCGTCTTTTCTGGTAAAAATTCCAGAACGTCCGTGCCTGTCTGAACACCTTTTTATGAATTTATGGGTAAATTGGTTCCGGAAGATTTCCCCATATTTACTGGTATCACCGTGTGAAAGGGTCTAGTGAAACAGAAATGTAAAGCTTAAAGATTTGGTACATTTTCTATTGGTGCACACAAACTGATTGAAACCAGTAGATGAAGTTTATTTCTCTGCAGTTGCCTATTTTCAATAAATGTGCTGGATTATGTCTTTAACATCATCATTAGGCCTACTTAAAGTAAATTCAGTAAGCTGTTTGCTGTTACAAAATCTCAGTGTTTAAGGTCTGTTTTCTTTAAAAGTCTTTGACATTCACCACCTGATTGATGTACGATATAAAGTGGGTCTCAGAATAAACAAGCTCTGCATTTAATTATATTTTTCCACATCATGTCTTTACAATATGAAGATTTACTCCAGTATTTTCAATGGAATTTCTACACTAGCCTGCTATTTCTGCTGTGCATCTTTTTTTTCATCTCATTAAAGAGCCCATATTATGGGTTTTTGAAAATTCCCCTCCATGTAGTGTGTAACACAGCTCTAAGTGAAGTGAAGTATCCAGCTAAGGCTTAAATCTGTTAGTGTACAGTGTTTAAAACTGTTGATTCATCTATAAAAGAGTCGACTCATAGTGCTTCAAACGAGTCGCCTTGATCACGATTCATTAGGTGTTTCGCCATGACGTACGAACGAAACCAAGTTATTCACGTGCACGCGCAAACCCGGGAGATTTCAAACCTGAGGCCCCGCCCTCTGACGCAGAAACCCAGACACACACATACACACACCCACAAACACACACACACACAAACATGCCGGTTGATTGAAGTCACACTGCAGATGGATATATTGAGTCTCTACCCAAAGATGAAACCTCAGCATTATAACCAAGCAGTTGGAAACTTCTGGAAGCTACATGCTACAAAGAATACTTCATCTGAGTTTGTTAAAGGAAGGATCAGTAAAGAGTAACTGATGGACGTCAGGATGTGTTTCTTCCATTTCTCAAGTGTAAGTACGTGCGGTTAAAGTTGTTGCCTCGTTTACTCTAGCTTGCAAATGTATTTAGTTGTGATTTGTTACTTGTAACCGCGTGTACTGTATCAGGTTAACTGGATATATTATCTTATCGCGTGCAAAGTCACGTTAAAAACGCGACGCGTGCTGTTTGTTTATGGAGCTCCGTGCTAGAGTTCTGCTCCCGCGATTTATTCGGAAATGTATTCCCGCGCCGCAGAAATCTGGCGCGGGGACAGCCGCGGGAATAAATTTCCGAATAAATCGCGGGAGCGGTCGGTAACGGGTTTAATTTGGGACGGGAGCGGGCTGTCTAGCAATATCACGGATATTGCTATGTGAATTAGAAAGAGAGAGTCTGCTTGGTATGAGAGAGCGTATGAGAGAGAGCGAGAGAGAGAGAGAGAGAGAGAGAGAGCGAACGAACGAACGAGCTTTGTGCTGTGTGTATGTGTTTATACAGACAGCTTAGCTGTCTGGACTGTATACTGGGTGATTTTTGGTTGTGTTCTCCGCTCTAGCGGGACCGGGCGCGGCGGGCAGAAAACGGAGCGGGTTCTCAGGCTAAAACCTGGCGGGTGCGGGCGGAAGCGGGAGCGTTGTCATCCGGAGGTGTGTGTGTGTTTTTGTGTGTGTGTGGTATGGCGAGTACACGACTGTCTCCTTCGTTCGGTTATCCGTGGCACTATCCACTCGCCATAGTGTGGCAGCTAAAATCCACGCATACACTATCGAGCGTGTATGAACTGTGATTACTTTTTAAATTGCTGATTAGCTATTGGCCATTTCCCTCTCTGACTGAAGGCAGTCGACCAATCGCGACAGACTGTCATCGGTCCAATCAGCGCAGATTAGCTTCGCGCTAAGGAGGGGTTTGGGAACAAATGAATCACTGGACGATTCATACAGGAGTCGCTGGGATAATTAGGTAAAAATAAATGCAGATTATAAGACCATGAAAGTGTTTTTTGACCTTGCATGCATATTAGACTGTTGTTGGAGACACTTACAACCAAGATATGACCCTATTTCATGTATAATATGGGCTCTTTAAGTCTTTGTAACTGATTATATATTAATTACAACATCTGTGTTGTAAAAGGAACCATATAAAATTGAAAAAGACACATAAACGTTCACCATAAGTTTATCTGTTGGGGAAAGAAACACTAGCTGTGCATATACCCTGTAGAAATCTACTTCTAGAAATCTGTCTGCTCTGTTTTGGAGCCAGGCCTAGCAGAATTTCATTTAGTTGCAGTTCCAGTTACTTCACCAGGTTTCACAAGGGAGAGCGGGATGTTGATGCTTGGTTATTTGACTAGTAATTCAATTCAATTCAGCTTCATTTGTATAGCGCTTTAAAAATGTAGATTGTGTCAAAGCAGCTTCACATAAATGGTCATAGTAACTGGATCAGGGTAGTTCAGTTTTTAGTGTTTAAGTTCAGTTCAGTTTAGCTCAGTTCAGTATGGTTTAAATCATTACTGAGAGTCCAAACACTGAAGAACAAATTCATTGATGCGTAGCTCTACCGATCCTGAACCATGCGAGCCAGAGGCGACTGTAACAATAGTAACAATCACATTCATTATATCAGACGTTAACTTTAGCCCCTTTCACACAGTGATGCCGGTAAATATCTGGCAAATTTCTGGAACGACTTTACCGGTATATTCAAAAAAGCGCTGTTCACACAGGCGAGGACGTTACGGAAATTTTCCGGAAAAGAGCATTCACACATCCATTCCAAAATACCGGTAAATTCTGACATCATTCACCACAAATGAGCTTTAAACGGCTGCGCTTGTATTTGTAAACATTTGACTAAATTACAAACTCTGTGGATGATCAATATTGTGAACAGCTTTCGCAGGATCACTTTCGCATGTCGAGATGTTCATAATATGTGCGTGTGCAGGCGCTCACAGGCTGTTTCACAGGCACACGCAAAGCTTGAAGGTAAACAAACAACGGCTTATCATAAGCATCTAATCGATGATTATTTACACAGTTGGCATAAAGAAGAACATATAAACGTGATCTGACTAACTTCTAGCAGCTAAATGTGTCTGGAAAAATATTCAAAGGTTTTTATTCTCACAAACCACGCGGACGTGAATGCGTCTGACTGTTGTGATTGGCTAAAGCAGACGTCTCACGTCAGCACGTTCTAGACGTGCACGCGCTTATTACGGAAATCTTCCTTCTGCATTCACACAGCGCAGCATTCCGGCAAATTGCCGGTAATGTTACAACTTCTCTTTCCGGAAAATAGCCAGAACGAATTTACCGGTATTTTCAAAAAGGACCTGTTCACACATACAACCTTTCCGGAAAATTGCCGGCAATTTTCCGGAAAGGTCTGTATGTGTGAAAGGGGCTATTGTCTGTTAATCATATATATTATTATGTCACATTTTCAGCAGTTCATTTATCAACAATTACTGACAACAACAATAAAATTGTTGATTTCAAGAATTTATATCCTGAGGATGAATAGACGTCTACACAGCTTGCCATAATTAGCGCGTTTTTTTACGATCCTCCAATGCGCTCGCCGTGATGACGTCAGCGCTGACGCGCTCATTCAGCGTCGAGTCTTCAGAGCTGAGGTGAGTCGTTGACGCTTTTTCTCGTGTTTACACAACAATAAAACACACTTTACAGTTTATTAAAGCGACAATCTGCGACTAGTTTCTGCATTGAGTTCACCTCTATCTGTGTGTCTGCTGACCAAAACAATACAGCAGAGGGAGAGGAGCTCTGAGAGGACAATATGTGTGAATGTGCTTGTGTTTATCTTTGTATCTGAAGTGTGAACCTTCATCAATTTTTGCATTAGTAAGATCGATAAATGTGATCTGTGAATTGTAACGTAGT